AAAACACAGGTGTTTGCATCAAAAAGTTCAGGTTAGAAGGTTATTATGGAATTTGATGTACTGGACAGCTCGCTGTGATGGTAAATAGGTTAAAAAATTATCTATATTTTAAAAATGAACCAGAATAGTGGGAACAAATGAAAAATAAAAGTTGTCCTATGAAGTAGTGGTGGTGGTTCTCTTGTAGTCTTTTTTTTTTTTTTTTTCCCTTTCCTGGTTGGTTTTCTGGGGGAGGGGCCTGCCACGTGGGTTTTCAGTCAATGAAGTTCCCTAAGTTAAGTCCTCCAGTCCCCCTCAAGGGGGTGGGCTCTGAGAAAACCGGTTTTTTCAGGCTTTTGTTCTCTGGAGGTTTTTATGTTTGTTCACCTTTTTTTTTTTTTTTCTTCTCACCTTGACCGCTTTTGATGGTTTTTGTAGGTTTAGAGGAAAGCAAACTGCACCCTGACCTCCCTCTCAGAGAGAAGCCTCAGTCTGTTCTTCTGTGGGTGTTGCAGAGCCCATATAAATCCCCCCTTGGCCGCTGGCAGAGCAGGTCCCTGGGGATGCAGGATCTTCTGCTTGTACCCAAAACCAAAGCAGCGGCAGCTGTCTGGGCAGCTCTAGACCACCAGAGAGGTTCCAAGCAGCGATCGCACACTGAGATTTTCCCGCTGGCCCCGGGCTGGAAGTGCCTGGTCTTTCTGGGTCTAAGAGCTCCCGGCTTGCGCGCACCTCTTTCAGGGTAGGCTGTGGGTCGCACGCGCCTCTCAGGCTCTGAGAACGGGGTGCAGGTCCGAAAGCACCAGGCTGGGCCTTCGCGCACCTCTCTCAGGGGAGGGTTTGGGGCGCGAGTCTTAGGCTCTGAAACAATGGCGTGTGTCAAAGAGCGCAGGCTGGGCCTTTGTACCTCTCTCGGGAGGGTGAGGGGCACACGCATCTCAGGCCCTGTAGCAGGGCTCGAGCGTTCTGCCATCCGGCCTGGCTCCCATCCCTTCACAGGGGCCAGAACCCACGCAATCTCGGGCACGCTTGCGGCTCAGGGACCAAGACCTGGTTTCTCCGCCGCACTCTCTCTGGCTCAGCGCCAGGGGAGGCCGTCCTGGGAGCGGGGACTTAAGCCCCTGTCCCTAGCCGCCCCGATTCCCACAATCCCCCCCCCCCTCGATCTTTTGCTCTTTTGGAGTGCTTTCAACCAGTCTCCAAGTTAATGCTGGTCCCCAGACGCAGGGCACTCTTGCTCGTATTAGGGGTATTACTTTCCAACCGGTCACCTCTGCTGGCTCCCTCCCCCTTTTATCTTCCGATATCAGTCCGCCTTTCCCACTCCGCTTTACCTGCCCACTGGCGTCTTCTACCCCTGTAGAGATCCAGATGTGTATAATTCTGATCTCAGGCTGATTTCATGCGTGATCGGAGTTCTTTGGTAGGTAATCAGCTCACTTTAGGGTACAGGTTGAAAAGGCGCCTCTTCCTACTTCCCCGCCATCTTGTTCCCCCCCATGTAACTGATTTCTGTGCATGATTTTGGCCAGTCTTGCTTCATCCATATTCCCCCCCCCATTTCTCCATGCCCCCAATTATTTTGAAGCAAATTTTATACTTAATTTTATCTGTAAATAAACTAGTTTTTGTAGCTCTGAAAGGGGGATTTTTTTTAAAAAATCATAGCTACAATATCACATTTTCCTGATTCTTGTTTTTTTTTGTCTTTTTTCTTTGTTTATATCTGTAGTTTTCATTCTTACTTGCTTTTTCTTTTGAAAGTATGTTGAAATAACTTTTTTTTTTAATATTTTACTTATTTATTTGACAGAGATCACAAGTAGGCAGAGAGGCAGGCAGAGAGAGAGGAGGAAGCAGGTTCCCCACTGAACAGAGAGCCCGACGCGGGGCTCAATCCCAGGACCCTGGGATCATGACCCGAGCCGAAGGCAGAGGCTTTAACCCACTGAGCCACCCAGGCGCCCCGAAATAACTAAGTTTTACAAAGTTTCTCATACATTTTGCTAGCTATAGTTTTTATTGTGTTAAAATACATGTATATAAAATTTACGATCTTTAAGTATATAATACAGTTGTACTAAACATATTGACCACCATCCATTCATGTTGACTTTCTTAATCCTGTAAAACTGAAATTCTGTACCTATTGAACAATAACTCCTGCATTCTCTCCTCCTTCTAGCCCCTGGCAACCTCCATTATTCTTTTAGTCTATGATTTTTGACTCCTCTAATTAGTTCATATAAATGAAATCGTACATTTGTTTATTTGTGACTGTTTTATGTCACTTAACATAATGTCTTAGGTTTATCCATGTGTAGCATATTGCAGTATTTCCTTATATCATCTTTGAAGAAGTGTCTAAGTCCTTTGCCTATTTTTGAATTGGCTAATTATATTTTTTTTAGTGTAGTTTAGTATGATCCTCTATTTCCTGTACTTCATGCAAATTGGTAGCTAGATTTAGAGGCTTGGTCAAAATTTGGTTTGATTTGGGAGCAGCAGAGAGAGAAAAGCCTGTCTGTTTTTGTATCTGTCTCTCTTTTATGCTAGGTGCTACTGATCATTGACTTAATCTGTTAATTAGAGGCTACAAAGAGGTGTTATTTTCTGGCTTTGTTTTTTCCCATTTATTAGTTGAAAGACTTCTATAAAGGGGAGCTTAGCATCATCTTTATTACTTTGAGGTACAGCTCATATATAGAATACATGATAAATGCTTGGTTCTAGCTTTTATTATGAGTTTTTGAAAATAATGTGTTGGTTCCCTAGGAACTTTCAAAAATGATCAAGGATTTTTTTTGTTGGGTATTTAAACATATTTGGTGTGTTTGTTGTCCTTATTGATGAATTGTGGCCTCTTTGAGTTAACTTAGAAGACCTTTTGTCACAGCCTTGGTAATTTTCAGTGGTTTGCTTGCTCTCTAGTGTGACAAGATGTTCCTAGTGTCTTGTATATTTTGTGTCAAAGGCCTGGGGTCAGTCAAATCTCCAGAGTCCCTACTTTACTTTTATGGGGAGGTCATACTTTGCAGTCCATTAGCTAGGCACAAGGAGTTCTTGGAGTTCTTGGTATGGTTGTTGTTTAAAAGCCTTTCATTGAACAGAGCTATGAAATATGTGTTTGTTTGTTTGTTTGTTTGTTTTTAACAAAAATATTTCATGAGTTTATACTGAGGCTTCCAATTTAAATTCATGCTACATGATTTTCACTTCTTCGGTCTCACATCCATGTCTTCTCCCATGTGAAAAATCTCAGATCTCAGTGACCTTACTGTAATTACTGATTCCTTTCTCCCATAATCATACACAAAAGTATCAGAATAACAATACCAATAGGAATATAATTTTGGAAATAAGAAACTTTTTTTGCTGTACTTTGCCTTGTAATTTATTCCTAAGGAACATTCATAACAGTTGATTTTATTATGGCTCAAAATCACTTGAAATTTTTTGTTGTTGTTGTTACATTACTAATATAACACAGATGCACATTTAGGTTAATTTTGCTTTTAGCTTTTACAATTGATTTTTTAAATTTTATTTTCAATATGTGTGTTGTGGGGGGTTTTTTTGCAATTTTATTTATTTGACACACAGAGATCACAAGTAGGCAGAGAGGCAGGCGGGGTGGGGGCGGGAAGCAGGCTCCCTGCTGAGCAGAGAGCCCAATGCAGGACCCGATCTCAGGACACTGAGATCATGACCTGAGTAGAAGGCAGAGGGCTTAACCCACTGAGCCACCCAGGCGCCCAGTGTGTGTGTTGTTTTAAAGTAGAATATCTAAAACAGGGTGTTGGGGCACCTGGGTGGCTCAGTTGGTTAAGTGTCTGTCTTCGGCTACATGATACCAGAGTCCTGGGATTGAGCCCCACGTCAGGCTCCCTGCTCCATGGGGATCCTGCTGCTCCCCTTGCTTGTACTCTCTCTTTCTCAATCTCTCTCTCTCTCTCTCTCTCTCTCTCTGTCAAATAAATAAATTTTGGGGAAAAAAAATAAAGTGGTATATTAAATACATACTCCTATATATATATATATATATATGTGCGAATGCAAGTATATCTTCTCTTGCTATCTGACTTAGCTAAATAATAGCTTACTTATACATATTCTCCTTGCTTTACCTCTTTTTTTAAAAACAATAATATATTCTGGAAGTCACTCCATAATAATACTTAGAGCGATTCCTCAGTTATTTTTACATCTGCATGATACTCAATTGTGTAGATGTAATATAGTGTATTCAACCATTGGTGGACTATTAGGATTGTGTGTGTGTGTGTGTGTGTGTGTGTGTGTGTGTGTGTGTGTATTGGGGATAGTTCTTTCCCCCTTCCTATTACAGTTAGTGTCAGTGAACAGCTGTGTGTATCCCCTTTTTTTTTTTTTTTTTAACTTCTTTTTGTTCAGTGTATTTGGAAAAGATTCCTTGAAGTGGGATTGATGAGAATATGGTAAATGCATATATGATTTTTGGGAGATATTGCTAAGTTTTTGTTTATAAGGATTGTGCTATTTTACATTCCCATCAGCAGTATATTTTGCCACAACCTTATCAACAAAGTATGTTGTCAAATTTTTGGATTTTTTGCTAGTCCTGTGAGAAATGTTAATTCCATTTTAATTGCATTTCTCTTAGTAAGCAAGGTTTAGCATCTTATCATAAGCCTCAGAGCCATTTGCCTTTCTTTGTGAACTCTGTTCACTTCTCCAACACATTTTTTTGATCTCTGTTTTTAGAATGTGTATGTTAGGATTATTAGCCCCCTTGTCTTTGATAAGTTGCAGTTAGTTTTACAATTTGACTTTTGTGGTTTTACTTTGTTATTGTATTAGCCATGCAAAAGTTTTTAATTGATAGCTTTAAAAAAAAAGCTATCAATCATTTCCTTTTGCTCTACTGACTGTATAGCAGGCAGAATAACATAATCGTGTAAAGCATGTTTAAAATGTAAATTAAATATATTTGTGAAAATACACACTTAGTCCTCATTATAATGTGTTCCTTTTGCTTCTAGGCAAGGATAAAAGCCATCAATACATTTTTTGCTAAGAATGGTTATCGATTAATGGATTCTAGTATGTATAGTCAGCCCATTCAAACTCAAGCACAGTATGCCTCACCAGTTTTTATGCAGCCTGTATATAACCCTCACCAACAGTACTCGGTCTATAGTATTGTGCCTCAGTCTTGGTCACCAAATCCTGCACCTTACTTTGAAACACCACTGGTAAGTGAGATCCTTAAAGAATTATAAAATTTTTCACTCAAGCTGAAATTTGAAGAAATTAGAGTAGTTTATTTTTTGTTTTGTGTTGATAACTGGTTTCTTTCTGGCTTTTAAGTAGTGATAATGGGATCTAATCACCATGTGACTAAGACTTGAGCTATTGATTCCTATAATTTTATGCTTTAGATTTTGCTGAATGAATTAAAATAAGAAATTGGATAAATCCTGATTAGTTTAAAATGCTTTCAGTTAAAATTTTTCAGAGAGAATGTACTTTATTAAGTAATGACCTAATGATTCCTTGATATTTGCAGTGAGTATTATAAAAGTGAGTAAGTAAAATGCTTAAAATTAATTTTGCCTTGTAAAAGAAATTGAGGGGGATCCTGGCTGGCTCGGTGGAGCATGCAATTCTTGAGTTCAGGGTCCTGAGTTCAAGCCTCATGTTGGGTGTAGAAATTACTTAGAAATAAAAAATCTTTAAAAATTTGATGCTAGGTTAGTTCATCAGGAGTTTCTTAAAGCCTTCACACTAGGTTTTGCCCTTTTCATTAATTGTTTTTAAACATTACCTTTTCTTTTAGGCTCCCTTTCCCAATGGTAGTTTTGTGAATGGCTTTAATGCACCAGGATCTTATAAAACAAATGCTGCTGCTGTGAATATGCCTCGACCATTCCAAAAAAATCGGTAAGATTAAAAATAATAGTGATACAGGGGCGCCAGGATGGCTCAGTCATTTAAGCATCCACCTCTTAATTTTGGCTCAGGTCTTGATCTCAGGGTCATGAATTCAAGCCCACATTGGGGTCTCCACCCAGCATGGAGCCTACATTAAAAACAAAACATAATGGAATTTATTGTACACAATTCCCAGTAGTTCTTAAAGAATTACTGTGGTAATCACAGTGCTTATTTACGGACTTAGTAAAAAGCTTAAACAATTTATTGTAGAATTAGTAAACACACTTTGACCTCATAGTGGATAATTTGTATAAAAAAGATTTAAAACTAAGATTATACATAATACACTGATTTTTTTAATATTAAAGATAAAAGAAAATTATTTTATGATAGTAACATAAAATGGGTTCATGGTGTTCCTTTATTGTCGCTTTTTTTTTTTTTTTTTTGTGGTACTTTCTTGGTGAAAAGATTGAAATCACAGTAGGAAAGCCAAGAATGACAGCCCAGTCATCCTTGTTCATAAGGAAGTATGCCTATGCTTTTGAAGGTACATGGCAGGTTTAGTATAATTTTGTGGGCTATTCAAAACCATTCATCTACAATCCTTTTTCATATATCTGACCAGTACAGGTTGTTAATTTTTTAGTTACAAAAATTATACATGAGTATTTTCTTCTTATAAATTGCAAATATTACAGATGAAACTAAGAGAGTTTTTTGATGGACCCTAATCCTTGTTTTGTTTCTTCTAAAAAGTGACTACTTCGAGACCTTTATTTATCTGTTTGTTTGTTATTTATTTATTTACTTGAAGTTATCAGTCAAGGAGAAAGTAACTTTTATGAAGCCCTTTTGTAGTTTATTATATGAACCTTATAACAGCCCAGTGATGATCACTAGACCTACTTAGAGAGACTAGGACTAACTTTCAGAAGTCTGGGCATTTTTCTACCTTTCATACTTCCTCTTTCTGTCACTTTACTTCTTCCTTTCCATCTTTTATCACTTATTCTTTTATCTTTCTTTTTTCTTTTGCCTGGACTGAGATTGTAAGTCCCTCTCAGTGAAGGGTAAGATTATGAGATCTGAGGGCTGTTTAAACCTAGTAACTTATCTGTTAGGTATATTGAAATGCAGTGAGAAAATTTAGGCGAATTATAGTTCTGAACAGATAAATAGCATTCTCCTTCATAAAGTCATTTTCAGATATGATAGATAATAAAAATATTTTAAAAACACTTTGTGTTGACGTTGTATAATTTTTACTATTAAAAATCTATTTGTGGGGCTCCTGGGTGGCTCAGTTGGTTAAGTGCCTTCAGCTCAGGTTGTAATCCTGGGATCCTGGGATTGAGCCCTACATCAGGCTCCCAGCTCATCAGGGAGCCTGCTTTTCCCTCTCCCTCTGCTGTAGCATGTCCTCCCTGCCCCACCTCCACTTGTGCTCTCTGGCGCTCTCTGTCAAATAAGTAAACAAAAATCTTAAAAATATTAAAATCTATTTTGTGACATAAAGTAATTATTTCATATAATCTTAATGAAATTCAACCCAACTTTGTCTCCTGGTTTTTATATTTAAGTTTTAATGGCAGTAACCTAATTTTTTTATTTTCTATAAAGAATAGGATAGCTGTATATGGCGCCTGGGTGGCTCAGTGGGTTAAGCCACTGCCTTCGGCTCAGGTCATGATCCCAGGTCCTGGGTTCAAGCCCCACATCGGGCTTTCTGCTCAGCAGGGAGCCTGCTTCCTCCTCTCTCTCTGCCTGCCTCTCTGCCTAGTTGTGATTTTTCTCTGTCAAATAAATAAATAAAATCTTTAAAAAAAAAAAAATAGGATAGCTGTAGATAATTGTTGAAATTCATGTTTAATTGTTGGGGTTATAATTATTTTGAAGTTTTAAATCGAAATTCAGAGAACCAGGAACTGGCAGTGTGTTTGTTGATATAAATTTATAACCAGGAAAATAGACTGTAAAAGTGGAATTTTTAAACACAAATAAGGGGCCAAATAAAAATCTTATACTTCCCTGTATAATCTCCTGTGGAGCCAAGGTCCTCAGTTGCTTGGGCTTACTTCAGGTGTTTTCATTGTTGATTTAACTGTAGCCTCCTTTACCCCCTACCCTGGCTTCATCTGCTTACACGTTGTTAGAGAATTGGGTGCTTATATCTGTCATCCAAGATAAAAGCTACCCTTGTTTATAGTTTTGGGTTTTTTTTTTTTTTTAAACTAGATTCTATACCTAATTCATGAAGCCATGCAACGCTATTAGTTGAATTATCCTTCCTAGTTTTGTTTTTTTTTTTTTTTACAGAGGCTCTTTGAACAATTAATTTAGTAAGAAGGTGGGATTTTAATATATTGCACTGTTTCTCTGGTTTTTGTTGTCACTCCCCTAAAGAGTGACATCCCCCCCATTGTTTTTAGACAGCACCCCAATTTTTCCCTATGAAAATTTAGTATTGAAGATGTGGTATATGTATTTATATAATATATGTATATCTGTGCTCTATGCATAAAAGTAAGATTGGGATTTTTTTTGTTGTTCCTTCTCAGCCCCAGCCCCCACCCCAGGAACCTTTTTTACTCCCACTAGGGGTGATGTTGCCCCATTGAGAATGTATGGCATAAATTCTTTAATAAGCTTAAAGCCTGGCTGATTTAGGTGTGTCAAGACTGCTACTGGTGTTAAATTAGCTAAAATCCTAGTTGTATTTTGAGTATCGAAATAGAGGTAGCTTTATCTTGAAGAACTTTGGATTTTACCCCAAATATCTCCAAACAACTTTTTTATTTTTTTAAGATTTTATTTTATTTATTTATTTGACAGAGAGCGGAGGGAGTGGGAGAGGGAGAAGCAGGCTTCCTGTCGAGCAGGCAACCCGATATGGGGCTCAATCCCAGGACCCTGGGATCATAACCTGAGCTGAAGGTAGATGATCAATGACTGAGCCACCCAGACACCCCTCCAAATAACTTTTTTTTAAATGTAAAAATCTCAGACAAAAAGAGTTTACATTTTTATAATGTGATACTTTTATGTGTACCTTAATTTGTGGAAAATAGAATACAGTAGAAGGCAATTTTTAACTTGTCCCTTTAAATGTACTCTTTACCATTAAGGGGAAAGATTTTCTTTCTGTCTTCATTTATCCTGTCATGTATGTGATCTTATATTTCTTATAGTGTGAAGCCTCATTTCAGGCCATCGAGTGGTTCAGAACACTCGACAGAGGGGTCTGTGTCATTGGGGGATGGACCATTAAACAGATCTGGTTCAAGGAACTTTACAACTGAGCGGTATAACCCTACAGTAACAGGGCATCAGGAGCAAAGCTACCTTGCAAAAGAAACTCCTATGATACAGATGGAACAGAATGGGGACTATGGTAGGGGCAGGTAAGGAAATATGGTAACAAATACGGATAAGGTATATGAAAATTTTTTGCTTATGTGAATATTTGAAGAACATGATCTAGTGGTTATTTTTTGTTTACATTATTAGTGTATGGTTATGCTAAATGAATACAGTGTTCATATAATGTGGATTAATAGTTTTAATAATTATTAAGAAATGTATAGTGCCCATATAGAATATAGCTGAATCAGAGGTGTATAAAGTTACTCTGAAGTTCTTTATGGTTTACTGAAGAAAGAATAGCTTAGAAAGATCAGATCCTATCTGCATTCTAGTTTAATTTCTTACAACTCGTAGCTGGGGAAATGGGGTTATACCTTACCGCCTACTCTGCCGAAATGAAACAAAAAACCTTGATATACTTCTGGTGTGAAGAAGCGCTACTTAGTAAAAGTGGGCCCAACTTACTTAATGGTGATGATGGTAACAGATGAAGTTTTTGGTAGATTAGTTTAGGATCCCTTCAGAAGAATATATATTCATCTCTTAATAGTGAAGATATAGAGAGTATAGTTAGCTAAACTAGAAATTCACCCATCATTGATAGAGTGTATTATATATTTGAAGAAACTTATGAGTTGTCCCTCCCATCATCCCCAACTTTTTTATCATTGTTAAAAGGAGAACTCTTTTCAGAGGTCGAAGACGACGAGAAGATGAGAGAGTCCAGGTAAGTATTTTTTACCTTTATTACATCTATTTATTTTTTTTTCTTTTGTGATTTAGTATGGCATTGGCTTATGGTTGGTCTTTCCGGGGTTTTGTCTTACTGATTATAGTATTAGGCAAAGATAAATAGAACCTGTGCTTTGACCCTAAAATATCCACTACTACTACCACCATTCCCCACCCTTAAAGCACATGTATAGTTAGGGATTTGATCTATGTTTCTTGTGTTTTTATTTTTATTTTTTAAGATTGTATTTATTTATTTGACACAGAGAGAGGTCACAAGTAGGCAGAGAGGCAGGCAGAGAGAGACAGGGAAGCAGGCTTCCTGCTGAGCAGAGAGCCTGATGTGGGGCTCGATCCCAGGACCCTGGGATCAGGGCCTGAGCAGAAGGCAGAGGATTAACCCACTGAGCCACCCAGGCACCCCTGTTTCTTGTGTTTTTTATTTTATTTATTTATTTATTTTTTAATTTGACAGAGAGAGATCACAAGTAGGCAGAGGGGCAGGCAGAGAGAGAGGGGGAAGCGGGGGCGGGGGGGAAGCAGGCTCCCTGCTGAGCAGAGAGCCCCATGCGGGGCTTGATCCCAGGACCCTGAGATCATGATCTGAGCCAAAGGCAGAGGCCTAACCCACTAAGCCACCCAGGCGCCCCTTCTTGTGTTTTTTAAAAATTACTTGAATACCTGATATAGTCACATGGTTTAAAAATTTAAAAATGAAAATATTCAATGAAAAGTTTATTACATTATTAATGGACATTTAAATACTTTCAGTCTTACAAACAGTGCTATAATAACTTCATACAACCATCATTTCCTATGTATTTAATAATACCTGAAGGAGAATCCCTAGAATGGGATTTCTGGGTCATAATTCAGTAAGTTGCTACCAGCCCACAGCTTTCTATAGGGGTTGTGCCAATTTACACTCTGTCAGACATTGAACAAAAGTTCCTATTTATCAATAGCCCTATAAATATAGGACTTTTTGCCAAGCTGATAAAGCTTATCGTTCATTTACAAAGCTCTCTGGATGGTGTGGGAAACTTAAACTGTTTATTGTTAGTTGGTGGAGACAATTTTCTACCTACTATTTATTCTTCTATCCACTAATCTTATAAAACTGCTTATAGATAAAAAACTTTTATAGTTCTAAATATGTTTTTATTTGAATTTTGACTTATCTAGCTTCAAATTAATCATGTTTTGGTTTTTTTTTGTGGTTTGTTCATGGTGAATGTTTGCCATCTCTTAACTGAAAACAAAAGGAATTGAGAAATCAGAATGATGAAGGAACCCACAGAGGTCTCAAAAAAACCCTGCCTAGAATTTACAGATAAATCATAAATTATAGTATAATACTTGTTTTTACATTCTAAGTAGTGAATTATGTATACATATTAGTATACATATAGCATGTAGGCTACATATATAAGTAGTGAAAAGATAAGCATTTTCAAAGAAGAAAACATATTGCATTGTAACACACAGAATGGTCCTTAGGGCAAACTGTGAGTCTTTTAAAATAGTATTGTTTTTCATTTATAGCTTTCTGTACCAGGGGCCCCCATGACATGGCAACAACTTTTTTAGGATACCATTGCAGCAGACCACATGAATCCCCAAGTGGCCTTTAACAATTGAGGAGAGATGAGATTAGTTTTGAAGTCCGCATAGTATGTTGAAAATACATTGAGGATTGAGGACTGAAGGAGTGAAGAAAAAGGAGACAAGCATGCTTTCCAGTAGGAAAGGCAGAGTGGAAGTGCTTTTGTACAGGAAGGAGATTTTAGCTAGAGATAAAATTTAGTATTTGTAAGCTTATAGAAAGTAATTGAAATCATAAAAGTAGATGAAATCATTCAAGGGACTCTGTAAAGTAAGTGATTTAAATAAAGTGGTCAAGAATGGAACTTTGGCAACAAAGTAGCTTTGAGCTGAAGAATAAGATTACTTAGTCTGTTGTTTGCTGTATCCAAGCAAAATCTGAGTAGAGAGTGCTGATAGGCAAATGGATGTCTAGGTTTCAGGTAAAGGTCTGGGCTGACAGTATTGAAAGTGTAAAATTCAGTGAGTTTTGGCAAATTTCCAATGGTGTGTAGGCAGAAAGTCACCAAAAGTGAAAAAGATAGTTGTAAAGGTTGTTTGCATATAGGGTAGTAGTTGAAGGCATGAATAGTGGCCATCACATAGGGAGAGTATGGAAGTGAAAAGAGTAGTAACCACATAAAAACTGAAACTGTCAAAGGGTGTAGGTAGAGAGCCACAAGCACCTGATTATGAGATCTGAAAATCAAGATAAAGAGGTATCACAGAGGGGCGCTTGGGTGGCTCAGTGGGTTAAAGCCTCTGCCTTCGGCTCAGGTCATGATCCCAGGGTGCTGGGATCAAGCCCCACATCGGGCTCTCTGCTCAGCGGGGAGCCTGCTTCCTCCTCTCTCTGCCTGCCTCTCTGCCTACTTGTAATCTCTGTCAAATAAATAAATAAAATCTTAAAAAAAAAAAAAAAGGGGTATCACAGAAGCTAAGGGAGGAATGAGCTCCCAAAGGAAAGAATGTTTACTGTGCCAGGTTCTGTATGAGGTTGGGGTAAAAAAAAGTCTGTCAGATAATTGCATTGTGGAAGGCATTGGTGACTGGTCAGTGCAGTTTTAGTGGTGACTGCAGAGCAGAGGAAGTACAAGTGAGAGGCTTGTCAGGGAATAGAATGGTGAACAGAGGCAGATCAGGAGATTTTTCAAGGAAAGATATTCTTGTGAGACTATATGGAAGGAGAAAAGCTGATGGCAAATTTAGGTCACACAAGGGTTTTTATTTTTGTTCTGGAAAGGGAATAACAACTTAGAAAACAAATAGGCGGTTTGGTTAGCAGGCTAAAGGAGTGTGTCACAGTTTTCAAAAAAAAAAAAAAAAGAGGCAGTTGATGAAAGGTAAGTAGGATTGATTAAAAATAAATAAATAAAAGCTCAACTGAGAGGAGAAGCCAGGAATTTATAGGAGAACAAACAATTCTGTGCATTAGGATAGAGTTAGTTTTGTTTGTTTCCTTACAGCTCTCAGCTTCTGTGGTACAGGATTAGGGAATGAGATTGGCTTATGATCTGTTTTATGATTTGTGTCTTTTAGAGACCCCCGTCTTCATCAGCTGAAGCAAAGGCTCCAACACCAAAGTTTGACTTACTAGCCTCAAATTTTCCTCCTTTACCTGGAAGTTCATCGAGAACTCCAGGTGAACTTGTTTTGGAGAGTAGGATGTCTGATGTTGTTAAAGGTGTCTACAAAGAAAAGGTAAATACTGAGGCATCCATCTTTTACTTGTGGGACCATAGCTAGCCTTTGTTTGCAGTTATTACTTGAAATTTTATTTGCACTTAATATGTATTTCTATCATGCTTTTTATTCATGGGATTGTTAGCTTACTTTGAGTATTATAAAAAGATTTATGATGAAGCTACACAGGCCAGTAAAGCACTGGGTGTTGTGTAAGACTGATGAATCACAGACCTGTACCCTTGAAACAAATAATACATTATATGTTAATTAAAAATAAAATAAATAAAAATTAAACCAGTTCAAAAAAATAAAGTGTTTCTTCACTTTTGCAGGTCTTTGGTAACAGGCAACTCATCTTGGTAGAACCAATTAATGCAAACTGGTGGAAAGTGTTGTTTGCGCTTAAGCCTATAATTAGTGATGTAAATGAATTCCAAGTTTGGTAAAATTCAGGCTTTCAAGTAATGGAGAGTTGATATCAAAGACATAGGAAATCAACTTTTAGGATAGGTCCCCCTCCTAAAATATTTTTGAGTGTAGACCTCTTCCTGTACTGTCTTTACACCCAACATATTTTTCTCATTTTCTTCCCTTTTTTTCTTAATTCAATTCTTATTTTAATTTTATAGGACATACACATGGTACAATTAATTAGGCTCATAGTGAAAAATAGTAGTCCTGTGCAGCCATTTTGACTAGCCTTTTCTCTTGTTTTCCCCACTATTTCTAATTAAATGGTTATCTACTATTTCTTTTTCTTTTCCTTTCCCTTTCCCTTTTTTTTCTTTTTTTTTTTAAGATTTTATTTATTTATTTGACAGAGATCACAAGTAGGCAGAGAAGCAGGCAGAGAGAGAGGAGGAAGCAGGCTCCCCGCTGAGCAGAGAGCCCGATGTGGGGCTCGATCCCAGGACCTGGGATCATGACCTGAGCCGAAGGCAGAGGCCTCAACCCACTGAGCCACCCAGGTGCCCCCTTTTTTCTTTTTTTTTTAAGTAATCTCTGCACCCAATGTAGGGCTTGAACTCACAATCCCGAGATCGAGTTGCATGCTCACAGTATACTTTATTTCTTGACTTTACAAGTTTCAACGTTGTCTATTAACTTTCCATTTAGAACCTAAGGATTTAGCTCTCTTAAGCTAGCATACTTTTCTTACCCTTCCTGTATATTTTACTCCATTGTTTCTAGGATACCATCCATTATAAGGTTCCCTATTGATTTAGTATCATTAAGAAAGTAAAAAGCAGGGCTGGGTGCCTGGGTGGTGCAGTTGGTTAAGCAACTGCCTTCAGCTCAGGTCATGATCCCAGAGTCCTGGGATCGAATCCCACAGTGGGCTCCCGGCTCCACCGAGAGCCTGATTCTCCCTCTGACCTTCTCCCCTCTCATGCTCTCTCTCACTTTCTCTCTGAAATAAATAAATAAAATCTTTAAAAAAAAAAAAATAAGTAAAACAAAAAAAAAAGCAGGGGTGCCTGGATGGTTCATTTGGTTAAGCCTTCAGCTCAGGTCATGATCTCAGGATCCTGGGATCCAGCTGCACCGCCCTCTCCCATGTCAGGCTCCCTGCTCAGACAGGGAGTCTACTTGTCTCTGTGCCACTCCTCCTTCCTCGTTCTCTCTCTCTCTCTTTCTCTCAAATAAATAAAGCCTTTAAAAAAAGGTAAAAAGTATTGCCAGTTAGATTAGGATATGCCATCATTTGTAAGTCACATCTTGATACTACTCCCCCCACCCCCCGCCCGAACTGAACCTCACAGTATACTGCCATTATTTCTCCTTGCGCTCTCAGTGGCTTGCTGCACAGTTGTGTAGCTGGGACTTGACTTTACCATCAACCTGAGAATTTTCCTTACTTTCTTTTGTTGAATCCTCTCTCTTTCTTACTCTTGTTTTACTTTCCTTTTTTATGGTAGGTCACATCTTCCTGAGCTTCCTGAATTAGTGGTTTTTAGTATAAATTTCTTGAGATCTTGCATTCCAAAAATGTTTTTGTTTTCACATTGGATCAATAGCTTATTTCTGTAGAGATCTGCAATAGAAATCATTTTCCCATGGAATTTTGAAAGTATTTCTTTGTCTTCCCGTTTACAAAATTGTGCAATATTGTAGTTAATTTCATCAACCTTAAGATAGACATTTTTTCCACCTTCGAAAATCTGTGATTAAACATTACCCTTGTTTAAGTGGCAGTGTTTTTTCTTAGTAATACATAAAATAATGGTGCGTTTTACAGTTGATGGCTTCTCCCATTTGGTGTATTGTGATTCACACGTACATACATTTTTAAAGAAGAATAATAAAGTGTATCTCCCCTTGTGATCTCAACTCACGGTTGTGGACAGTAAACATCACAAATATCTGAACAATGCCATGTGTCTCCCCTTCCTTTTTACAATTCCTCCTATTTCTTCCCTTCCTCCCCGTCAGAGGAAACATCCTGACTTGGCAATAATAATTTTCTTGCTTTTCTTTATAATTTTACCATTCCGGCTTGGGAAACTTTTTCTTTAAAATAGGTCTGGAACGTGAATATTTTAGGCTTGTGGGCCACATGCTAAAAACTTAAAAACCACTCTTAGCACATAGGCCATAGCAACAAAACTCAGAGGCTGGATTTGGCCAGCAGGCCTTGGTTTGTCAACCCCTAATATAGAGAGTATACTGTTCAGTGTGCTTGTTCTTGAATACAACATAAATGAAATATGTATTCTCTTATTTCTTTCATTATGTATTGTGTGAAATTCATCGGTGTTGATACAAGTAGTTCATTTTACACTGTGTATTCTTTTGTAAGAACATCCTTATTTGGGGGCGCCTGGGAGGCTCAGTGGGTTAAGCCTCTGCCTTCGGCTCAGGTCATGATCCCAGGGTCCTGGGATCGAGCCCCACATCAGGATCTCTGCTTATCTGAGAGCCTGCTTCCCTCTCTCTCTCTCTGCTGGCTTCTCTGCCTACTTGTGATCTCTGTCTGTCAAATATATAAAAAAAGAAAGAAAGAATATCCTTATTTTACTGTTGATGGGCACTTGAGCTGTTGTGTTGGGTTTTTTTTGTTTTGGGGTTTTTTTTTGACATTATTAGCAGTTCTGCTGTGTATGTTCAAACTACACATACACCTTGTTTTTAGGTATATACATAGTGGAATTGCTAAGGGATAGGGCATCTAAAATTTAATTACAGTTGAGGTCAACTTACCTTTTCATGTTGTATTGGCCATTTGCGTTTCTCTTTGAAAAGTGTCAAGTATTTGACACCTTTTTTTTCTGTTGGGTTATCACTTATCTTACAGATTCATGGAATTTTTAAATTTATTTTGGATACTAATCCTTTGTAAATGATGTATATTACTAATTATGGTTTGTTTTCAGTGTTTAGTATTTGTGAGTGAAAACAAGTTCTTATTTTAGTATGGTCCTATTTATCAGTCCTTCTTTCATGATTTGTTCTTTTTTATATCTTGCTTAGGAAACAATCTGGCTTCCAGAGATCCTTTTTAGAAACCTCTCATTCTGATCCTTCTATGACCTCTTTTTCCCCCCTCTCTGAAGGCTTGTAGGATCTTTATTTATCCCTGGTATTCTGTGAAATGTCATGAAGGTGTATCTTGCTATGGCTCTTTATTAATTCATTGCACTGGATACTTGGTAGACCTTTTCAGTCTGGAAACTCGTCCTTACATGCTAGAAAATTTTCCTATATTATCTCTTTGATAAATTCTTCACTTTAAATTCTTCACTGCCCTTCCTTAAACTCTTATGGGGTTTTTTTGTTTGTTTGTTTTTTAATTTATTTGACAGATCACAAGTAGGCAGAGAGGCAGACAGAGAGTGAGGGGGAAGCAGGCTCCCCACTGAGCAGAGAGGCCGATGCAGGACTCTATCCCATGACCCTGAGATCATGACCTGAGCCAAAGGCAGAAGCTCAACCCACTGAGCCACCCAGGTGCCCCCTTCCTTGAACTCTTAATTTGATATTTGATATGGCACCTTGTAGGTTGAACCTCTGATTTTGTTCTGGCCTTCCTAATTTTTATTTTTATACTTGTCTATAATTCCACAAAGTTTTTCTGAATGTTACCTTTAAACCTACTGAAATTTGGGGGTGCTTGGGAGGCTCAGTTGGTTAAATGTCTGCCTTCAGCTCAGGTCATGATCCTGGGGTCCTGGGATTAAGCTCCCTGCTCAGTGGGACATCTACCTCGCCCTCTCCTTTTGCCCATCTGCACCCCTCTCCTCCGCCACTCATGCTCGCTCACTCTCTCTCTCAAATAAAATCTTAAAAAAAAAGAAAAGAAAAGGCGGCGGGGGGCCACCTGGGTGGCTCAGTGGATTAAAGCCTCTGCCTTCAGCTCAGGTCGTGATCCCAGGGTCCTGGGATATCGAGCCCCACATCGGGCGATCTGCTCAGTGGGGAGCCTGCTTCCCCCTCTCTTTCTCTCTGCCTACCTCTCTGCCTACTTGGGATCTCTGTCAAATAAATAAAATCTTTTAAATAAAAAACAAACTTAGTGAAATTTGTATTTCATCAATTGATTTTAATATCCAGGGCTTGCTATTAGTTTTTGTTTTTTTAATGGGTGTGTGTGTTAGAGAGAGCGTGAGCAAGGGGGAGGAGGGACAGAGGGAAAAGCAGCCTCCTACTGAGCAAGGATCTCGGTGCGGGACTCTATCCCAGGATTCTGGGGTCATGACACAAGCCAAGGCAAATGCTTAACCGACTGAGCTACTCAGGCATCCTTTGCTATTGTTGGTTTTGTTTTTTTGGTTTTTTGTTTGTTTGTTTGTTTGTTTACTTTTTATTTTTTTATTTTTTTATTTTTTTTTTAAGATTTTATTTATTTATTTGACAGATCACAAGTAGGCAGAGAAGCAGGCAGAGAGAGAGAAAGAGGAGGAAGCAGACTCCCCATGGAGCCGGGAGCCCGATGCGGGGCTCGATCCCAGGACCCTGAGATCATGACCTGAGCCAGAGGCAGATGCTTAACTGACTGAGCCACCCAGGCCCCCCTGTTTGTTTACTTTTTAAAATTGTGTTAAGGGACGCCTGGGTGGCTCAGTCAGTTAAGCATCTGCCTTCAGCTCAGGTTATGATCCTGGGGTCCTGGGATCAAGCCCCGCATTGGACTCCCTGCTTAGTGGTAAGCCTGCTTCTCCTTCTCCTCTGTGCCACTCTACCCCACCCCCAACCTTAAGCTCTCTCTCTTGCTCTATCTGAAATAAATAAAAATATTTTTTTTAAGTATGGTAAATTGCATGTAATATAAAATATACCAACTTAAAGGGTGCCTGGGTGGTTTAGTCAATTAAGCATCCAACTCTTGATTTCAGCTTTTGTCCTAATCCCTCAGGGTGGTAAAACACTGTGGTGTCTGCTTGAGATTCTCTCCCTCTGCCCCTTCTAAAAAATTTACTATCTTAAACATTGTTCAGTGTGTACAATTCTGTTGTGCTAAATACATTCACAATGTTGTACATCTAATCTCCAGAACTTTTTATCTTGTAAATATAAAATGCAGTAGGGCACACCTGGCTAGCTCATTTGGTAGAGCATGCAACTCTTGGTCTCTGGGTTGTGAGTTCAGGCCCCACATTGGGTGTAGAGATTCCTTAAAACACAAGATCTTTAAAAAATAATAATAAACTCAGGGCACCTGGGTGGCTCAGTCATTAAGCGTCTGCCTTCGGCTCGGGTCATGATCCTGGGGTCCTGGGATCGAGCCCCACATTGGGATCCCCGCTCGGTGGGCAGCCTGCTTCTCCCTCACTCATTCTCCCTGCTCGTGTTCCCTCTCTTGCTGTGTCTCTCTCTGTCAAATAAATAAATAAAAATTCTTTAAAAAAAAATAATAAGTAAAATGTTATACCCATTACACGGTGACTCCCATTACCCATTACCTCTTCCCTCAGCCACTGGCAGCCACCATTCTATTTTATCTATATAAATGTGAGTACTCTGGGTAACTTGCATAAGTGGAATCATGTAGTATTTGTCTTTTTGTGACTGGCTCACTTACCATGATGTTCTCAAGGTTCATCCATTATGGTAGTGTGTACCAGTACTTCGTTCCTTTTATTGCACAGTAACATTCCATTATATGATATACCACATTTTGTTTATCTGTTCACCAGTTGATGACTGTTGAGGTTGTTCACCGTTTTTTGGCTACTATGAATAATGCTACTATGAACATCTGTGTGTAGACATATCTTCTCTTGGGTATATACTGTTGGGTCATATGGTAACTGTTTAACTTTTTGAAGAACTACCAGACTATTTTCCAAAATGCACCATTTTGCATTACCGCTTTCAGTGTATGAGAGTTCTGATGTCTCTATATCATCACAAACATTGGTTCCTTATTAGTTATAGTCACCCTAATGAGTGCAAAGTGATTTCTCATTGTGGTTTGAATTTGCATTTCCCTAATGACTGATGATGGTTAAACATCTTTACAAGCGTTTATTGGCCCATTTGGACATCTTCTTTGGAGAAGTGTCTATATGAGTTAATTTTGAAATATGTTTTTACTTTAAGGATAATGAAGACTTGAGAGTTAGTTGCCCAGTTTCAGCAGAGGCTGAACAGACAAACTGCACCTCTGCCCAGCAACTCAGTATGAGTACCAGTCCTCCATGTACAGCTGAGCTTCCTGCATTAAGGTACAGTTTCAGTATAGAAGATCTTCTACATTAAGATTACTTTCTCAGGGCGCCTGGGTGGCTCAGTGGGGTAAGCCTATGCCTTTGGCTCAGGTCATGATCTCAGGGTCCTGGGATCGAGCCCCGCATGGGGCTCTCTGCTCAGCAGGGAGCCTGCTTCTCACTCTTTCTCTCTGTGTCAAATAAATAAAATCTTTAAAAAAAAAAAAAAAGATTACTTTCTCTTCTGATTATTTTTTCAGCTCTTTGTTTGTGCTGTACTAAGTCTAATGTCAAGCTCTCTTTTCCTTAGCACAACTCAGCAAGAAAAGGATCCAGTAGAGGATTCCACTGTTCAGAAGGATGTTCTCAACCAGACAACTATACCAGTTTCTTCCCCAAGTACTGCAAAGCCATCAAGGACAAATAGTACTTCACCATGTAATAGTAACATAAATGCACCTGTAGCTGTGGCCCTACAGGTAACTTGATGAATTTAATATGTGGGGGGGGGGTAATTGGCTAAATAATAAGTGGTTTGTTTTTTGTTTTGTTTTCACATAAGTCTTTATAGAGCAGAATCATTTGGAAATAGCCCAAATTGAGGCTGCCGGCCTCAAATGAAACTCAGGAAGTTTAAAGTCACTGTGAAGAAATGGGAAGTTTTAGCCATGTTGAGATAGTGAAGAAGTAACTATTCATTCTGGGTTTTTGTTGTTGTTGTTGTTTTAAGATTTTATTTATTTGAGCAAGAAAGAGTATGAGTTGGGGAGAGGGAGAAGCAGGCTCCCTGCTTCAGCTGAGTAGGAAACCCCATGCAGCACTCCATCCCACAACTCTGGGTCGTGACCTGAGCCACCCAGGTTGCCCCCATTTCTGTTCTGTTTTGTTTTGTTTTTTTTAATGGCCTTTTTTTTTTTTTAAAGATTTTATTTATTTATTTGACAGAGAGATAGAGAGTACAAGTAGGCAGAGCAGTAGGCAGGGGGAGAGGGAGAAGCAGGCTCTCCACTGAGGAGGGAGCCCAATGCAGTGCTCGATCACAGGACCCTGCAATCATAACCCGAGCCAAAGGCAGCTGCTTAACTGATAGAGCCACCCAGGTGCCCCATTAATGGCTTTTTTTTCTGATCACGTTCTAGTTAAGTGAAACTTCTTTCTTACTCAAGTTATGATGAGATATTATTTTTGGGCTAAAGAGGCTCTGAGCTCCTTTGAAATTCCTTTTTTAATAATGTTTAACAAGTCTTAGGGCTACTTCTGTTAATCAGTTAGCAGAAATCATTTTTATAATTAGGGAAATAAAAAAAGGGCAAAAACACAACATTTAATAATCTTTTCATTCATTAATATAACTAATTGCATTTTGGTATAGTTCCTTTTTTCTAGGTTAAGGACATTTTATTTTCTTATTTAATAATAGTACAATGGCAGCTACCGATTACTGAATGCCTGCTATATGCTAAGACCAGTGCTAAATACTTTTCACTTGCTTGATTCCATTCGCATAAGGCCCCTGTTGTCCTTTTTTTCCACATGAGGTAATTAAAACTTTTAAATAGTCTTCTATTAATATATTATTTGTTCCCAGCTGCTCTGTTGAGAGTCTTGTGAAATCCATCTCAAGGTTCTTTGTAGCCATGGAAGAGAGAATAGAATCATTTTATTTCATCAGATGAATGTACATTATTTACTTAGTCTGTCCTTCCTTGTTACACATTTAGGTTGTTTGCAGTTTTTTCATCACCATAAGCAATGCTGACATGAGCATTTTTAGATAAATTCCTCAGGTGACATTATTGTATCATATATAAATTGCCAAGGCTTTTTATTATTTCAGCCAAAAAAAAAATGTTTAAGATTACTATAATACACTTTAATAATAGTGTATATGAGAATGCCTATTTCCCTTTTCTAGAAGATAGCTTACTGATTTTCTTGTGGATCACACTATCCTTTTTGTACTTTATTTAAAGAATGTACCATAAATTTTTTTTATCTTCACTTCAAAGGAACCCCGAAAGCTAAGTTATGCTGAAGTGTGCCAGAAGCCCCCTAAAGAGCCATCTCCAGTTCTTGTGCAGCCACTGCGAGAACTTCGCTCCAATGTAGCCTCTCCCACCAAAAATGAAGAGAATGGAGCTCCTGAGAAGTCCATTGAGAAATCACATGAGAAGCCAGAAGCAAGGGCTAGTAAGGAGTATTCTAGCTTCCGAGGCAATACCATTCCCAGGGGAGCAGCTGGAAAAATCAGGGAACAGAGACGCCAGTTTGGCCATAGGGCTATACCTCAGGGAGTGACTCGACGTAATGGCAAAGAGCAATATGTGCCACCCAGATCACCAAAGTAAAGAAACAAACAAAAAAAACTATTCAAAAACTTCTCTCTCTTCCCATTAAACTTGAGCCGTGGCTATATTGAACTGTTCTGGAGGGGAGGGGGTAGCCAGGAAGGAAACAGGAGAAAAGTGTCTGTCCTTAAATCATTATGGATTTTGGAGTTGTGAGCAGTAGAATCCCAAAATTCATCTCTAAAGTGATTTTAAAATGCTGGAGGATTCCAATCAGTATAAATATATATATATATGTATACATATATAAAAATATAATTTTTCTATTTTTGTTTTTGATTTTAATTTGCAGAGATCTTCTGCCTAGAATCAATTTTGAGGGTTCAGATTTAGCTTGAAAAAAAAAAACATATTACACATCCTTCAGTACAGGAGATGAGGGAGTGAGAGAAAATATTTTTTGAAGAAACATTTCTGTAAAATTAGAAATTACTTTTTTTAATCTATTTAAAGTTTGGCTTGGAGAATGCCATCTCTGCCTATATGGCCTTGTGTTGCAAAGCAGATCAGTGGCTAGGATGCCTGTTGTGTGAGTGTGTGCAAGAGTGATTGAAGCCAAATCTGTTGTCATGTTAGTAAATGATTTGAAAACTGAATGTAATACTTGAGTAGATTTTTTTTTTCCATTTTGAAATTCAGTCTGTCTTTTTGACCTTAATATTTCATTCAACAAGCTGTTAAGCTCTGATTGTACTTAGAGATGTGACTATCAATCAGTTTGATACTCAAGGAAAGAAAGGGGGTTATTCAAAAAATCAAAAATTTGTTTTAGGTCTGAGTGGATAGGTCAAATGGACTTCAGAGGTTTAAACTGCTTTGTGATTTCCTGCCCCACCCCACCCCTAAAATAGGAGACAGGTTTTTTTGTTACTTCATTGTCATTCTCTATTCTTTGACTACCCACCCCCAAAAGCAAAATAACCAACATCTTACAGAATTGTATGTTTCTAATTGCCTTGACAGTTTAGTCAAATCATATAACTGTTCTAATCTCTGATTGAACATTGAAGTAGTTTACTCTTCTGTTCATGTATTTAGAACTTTAGATCCCAGAATGGTAGGTCAGACTGACCCTACAGTAATTTATTTGTGTTCGTGTTAAAGATGAAACATTGTAACTGATTTCTTAAAGTGTTAAGTAGTGTAGAAGTAAAAAATATATATATATATATTAAAGGCTTAATTTGGGGGTGACTTTTTTCTGTTTACAATGTATTTTATCATCTTCCTTTTCTCCCAAAAAACAAAAAAACAAAAAACAAAAAAACAGTCTGGAATTCACAGAAACAGAACCAGCAAGTCATGGTATTTTTTGACTTAAAGTGAGAAAGATAGTTGAAGAAAATTAATAGTACATACTTTCTCAGTGAATAAAGTTGTAGCTGTCATATTAAGTAGGCAAGTTTACATGCTGGTGTTTAGAAAATGGCTAAAATATTAAAAACCATTTTGCATTAATCTGTTTTAAGTCATACTATTTTCAGAGTTCCATGTAAAGTGGGGTTTTGTTTTCTTTTTAGGGATAGTTTGTAATAGTCATAACTGTCCCTTATGTTAGTGAATTACATATGTACAAATTGAAACTGTAAATTGTGAACACTGGAAAGCACCATTGTGACATAGAGTAAACATCTTAGTAATATATTAAAATGAATGTAAATGGAGGTTAAAATTACATTACTGTGAAACTCATCTTCCAACTCTAAGTTAAGCTTTGGAGATTTGTATTAGTAGGTAACTAAACACTGCACATTTCTGTACAAGCCAGGATTATCATTTCTTTGTAACTTATTCAGCTTGGCAATTGCTTTTGATTTGGTGGATTGATAACATGGTATAATATATTTAAGCAGTTTGAAACTATTCATTTCTACACACTATTTTTAAAAATCATCTACTAGATGAAACATACAATAAAACTACCTGTGCTGAAATTTGGGGGAAGTTTAGGTCCTTTTAAAAAAAAAAGTATTAATAATCATTGACTACATCTATGATAAAAGTGCTTATTTTGGTTTACTTAGATAATGCTGCAGTTGGTGGAAATGATAAACATTTGAAGTGTTAACACTCTGTGAATGCATTGGATTTAAGAGAATAAACATTTTATAAAAAATCACTTGGTAAGGATTATAAACTTAATTATTGCACTTAAAAATGAAACATTACTTTTTTACAATGTCACAGAAATAGGCTTGTATTACTTGTATGCTTGTGTGACTTACTGTTAGTCCACCCAACTTCTAAAAACTAAATGTTCTAATTGAAACAGAAGAAGAGAGTCTTCTTTTTGAAGAAAGCAACTGTGTTCTTGCCTTTTTACCCAAAATGTTATTGGAAGTAGAAATTTGAAGACATGATCATTTTAAAATTTCTTATAAAATACATAGTGTTTTTAACTTAATTTGCCTCATTACAGTTAATAGTTCCCAGTTTGGTGGGATGTATAGGGAAGAGAGAGTGTGTGTGTGTGTGTGTGTGTGTGTGTGTGTGTGTGTGTGTGTGTAATATATTTTTTTTCACAGTATGTATCTAGCATTTATTTTATTACAGCAGATTTAAGGTTCGTATCAAAATGATGCCTGTGAGTTGTGTGAAACTGTTTGGATTTTTTTCCAGCAGTTCTCTGTAACTGATGCAGGTTGGGCGCTTACTGTAGTTCAGCTATTTATTTGGTTCTGTAGAGGGAGGAATTTAAATGTCAAATTTTTCTCTTCATCCTTATGACTTTACCGTTTCCTTGGGTTGTTGGAGGCTAAAAGTAGATACAAATGATGAGTGTATACTATGGTGGTTTTCTGTCATAGTTCTTATTGCATGAAGAGAATAAGAGTCACACAAGTTCATCACTTAGCACTTCATAGAGAAGGTATTTGGAGATAATGCAAGACCTGTCTCCATTTTCTATCCTGATAATTGAGGTTTTCAGGATATCTAGGGCCTGTCTCTACTTGAGTGATTCCATTTTTGCAAGTATAGACACTGGCATTCAAAAGAGTTGATCCATCTAAATTTTACTCACTTGAATTTTGGAAGAAGAGAAGATCTTTCAGTAATCAGGATTTATTGTTGTCATCTTATGTGCTCGATTTGCATGTGGTCTCAAATGACATGCTGATTTTTAATTTATTTTTGGTTCCTAAAATTAAGGTAGTTTGAATATCGCTTTACATTCCTTTTTAAATAACCAGGTTGGCTTTGCAAAAGGCTTAATGATGGAGTATTTGCATCTGCTGGTGCAGAAAATAGTATTTAAAAGTTACTGAACGCTTTTTTAAAGCTTTTTTTAAGCTTTATTAGTTATGGCCTTAATATTTAGTCTTTTGGCTTAAATGTCCACTGGTTTTACTTTGACACAATTAAACAGCACTGGGGATAAGTCTCTTGATATTTGTGTTGGGCAGATATATTAACCCTATTTTAAAAGTACCATTTTGTTTGTTTTTATAGAAAAGGTAAAATGCAAGAGGACAGTGTATTCCTTTTGAAGGTTTTTATAATTTCTTAACTGTGTGACGAGGTTTTTTCCTAATTTTTTATATTTCCTTACAATGTGGTGGCCATTAATTTAACTTTAGGCTTTTCTGGTGTATGCTAACTTAGCTAGTCTGAGCTTCCAAGAAGATACATAGACATTTCAGTTTTTATTAACTGAATGAGACATTTTAAGAAGTTGAAAGAGAATTTGTGTTGAAGTTGAAAGTAAATTCTCTTTCGAAATCACCTGATTATTAAATAATTTTATTTTTTAAAACTAACAGTTTTTTATGAATTGAGTAGACAGTTCCTAAAAGTACAACTCAGATGTCAACAGGCTGTGTATAAAATAAAATGGTTTTATTTTCAGTTTTGTAGTACAAAACACTGATTAGTGTAGATAAACATCTACATCGACGTTGATTTTTTTTTTTTTTTTTTTTTTTTGCCTGATTTACTTGTCTTTTGAGTGACCCCTATTAAATGTTTGGGGTCAGGGATCAGAACCAGTTACCCAGCTTCTATTTTGTCCATTTCTTAGGTTTGTTCCTGTTGTCCAAACTGCCCCCTCCCCCAAAAAAAGATGGATGTGACACATGCTCATGCATATTATGTTAAAATGAGTACATCCTTGTATTTGTATTTCTGTTTTCAACATTGCCAAGGTGCTATGGGAAATTAAAGTAACACAAAATTAGAAAAAATAAAATTATTTAAAAGCAGGACTGGTTTCCTTTTCTCCAGGTGGTTTATGTCTAATGACTACTTGTATTTATTTTTCCATAATACTGTGTGTTGCCTATTCCCTGAATTCTATCATTATTCTGGTCTCAGCTCTTTTTTTTTTTGGTTTGGTTTGGTTTGGTTTGATTTGGGGGAATGGGGTACAGGATGTGTGAGATTTCCTCTGTAGAGTGAGGGAAGAGAGCAGAAAATTCAGCAGTTATGGTCGTAGGCTTTTCTCAATCTTTTATGTCTGGAGCAGTGGTGATGGGGAAAAAAACCATAGGGCAATGTGCAGCTTAAGGATTTTGGTTTTCTGGGGTAGATTATGGTCTGACATGAGTGTAAATTCTAGGCTTTTAAACTTTCATTTCCAAGAGAAAACCACTAGGTTATTTTTAGCTTTTCACGACATCGTTGTTTTGTTGTATCTAAAGCTAAAGGGTTTGGGGAGCTTTTTCTTTTTTTTCTTTTTTTCTTTCTTTCTTTTTTTTTTAATTTTACTTACTTATTTGACAGAGATCACAAGTAGGCAGAGAGGCAGGCAGAGAGAGAGGAAGGGAAGCAGGCTCCCTGGTGAGCAGAGAGCCCGATGTGGGGCTGGATCCCAGGACCCTGGGATCTTGACCCGAGCCAAAGGCACACGCTTAACAACTGAACCATCCAGGCGCCCCTCAGTTTGTTTTCTATTTCTGGAAGGTTTTTAAGAAGTTTAGCAGTTACTGCTAAAGGATGGTGAATTTCCTTAAAAGTCTGACAAAATTATCAAGGGTGTTCTAATTTATGTGAGTTTAAAGGAACTGGGATGTTTTTGCTTTCTTTATAATGATCCCACATTGGGACCTCCTTCTGGTGTTGTGGGAAACAAAGGAACAGGCTACCTAAATACTTTTAATGTATATATTTAATTTCTACACCCAGTTTGGGGCTTGAACTCATGACTCTGAAATCAAAAAGTCACATGCTCTTCTGACTGAGCCAGCCAGGCACCCCTAAACATCTTTTTAAATTCATTTTTGGTAGCTGCTCTGCAGATCTTTGAAAGTGTGTTCTTTCTTGTTCCTTTTGTGTTATGTTTACTGTATAAGACTTAACATAGTACTACTCCAACCTCTCTAAAATATGTATGTGGCTTTTATCTTTACACA